CATGTCTTTGGACTTGTGGGGGACTTTGGACTTTGGACTCCCATGCAAACACAGGGAGAACATGCAAACTCCTCACAGAAATGCCAACTGACCCAGCCGAGGCTCGAACCAGTGACCTTCTTGCTGTGAGGCAATTGTGCAACCCACTGCGCCAATGTGGTGCCCCAGATAAAAAAAAAATAACACCGAAGATTTATTTAAGGTTTTTAAATATTTTCCAGCTAGCAAGATGTTAATTTTTTGTCAATCAAACAACTTTATCAGTCTCTCTACTTGAAGGTTGGTCTTGCGTGTCCTCCATGTTTGTAGTTTTTTGTTTTTTTTTAACTTTTTACCTGAGTTTAGTTTTTTTTTTAACTTTTTACCCAAGTTTGTAGTTTTAATCGAATTCAGGTCCAATGTGCATTGTATTGTGGGGAATGTTATATCAGTTAAAGTATGGACGGTTCTAGATTTCCAATTTCTACTGGAAAAGTACATCCTCCGTGAACCTTTAGCTTAATCTTTTCAACATACTATAGTTTGGGTCATACTAGTTCTGTTTTTGAATACTTTTTAGGATGGATAGAATGCGAGTTGGGACGCAGCAATGGACTTCCATAGTATTGGCTTTTTACACTATGAAAGTCAATGGTTATAGGTTTCTATCATTTTTCAAAATATCTTCTTTTGTGGTCAGCATAAAAAGAGAAATCTTAAAGGTTTGAAACCGATTGAGGGTGAGTAATATTCTTATTTTTGTGTGAACTATCCCTTTAATTCTATTTTTATTGTTTTTATGTTTGAGTGTTTTGTCTCATTACATGTCAGCAGTGTTTTCCTGGTGTCTAATATGATAAGCTTGGGTATAAATTCATGGAGTTTATCTAGAAAAACAGCTGTGAGACTGAAGATACCAGAGTCTATTATTGACCACTTGACCACAGTTCAGTGATAAGTCAACTGTCTCACAACACTATTTAGCTGATACAGAGCCAGGATATCATTGTTAGTGTGCGTTTTTGACCTGGATGGGCTAGTAAGCAAGTTAAAGCAACCAAACAAAAATACACCAGTGATCATATCTTCTTAAGGCTGCGAAAAAAAAAAAAATCTTATTTTTGTGATTTAATGTTCAGAAGTAACATTTATTAAAACCATTGTTTTGGTGAATTTCTAAATACATTTTGGTCATTACCAATGCAAGCAGATGGCAGCATTAAAAAATATAACTATACCCACTGGTACCGAGTTATCTGACTTAAATGCCTAAAAAATGTTTGTATCCTGACAGTCACTTTTATATAAATGATTTTCTTTACATGTAAAATACGATGTGGAATATCACTGTTCAATTTACATTTTTAAAGTTTGGAGTTTATAATTTTATTATTTACACCAAAGCTTTATTTGAAATACAACAAAATGGTAATGTGACATTTTGGCACTGTTAAAAAAAAATTCTATTTGAATATAATTTGAAATGTATTTTTTTCTAATAATGATGGATTTTCAGCAACATCCTTTAAAGGAACACTGAAAAAATATTCAAGGATGATTCCTTGGATTTACTCAATTTTTTACGTTAAGTGGTTGTAAACAATTTATTTGGGCTGAATTTAAACAAACACATTAAGTTGAACATTATTAAACTTAATTTGTTTGTTTAAATTCAACACAAATAAATTGTTTGCAACAGTTCTGCATGCAACACTTTTTACAGTATTGTGATTACTGCTCAAAAATATGTTCTTATAAAAATTTTTTGCCCTTTAAACACTATATTTTATTTTATAATATTTGTAATATAATATTATACACATTTATAATATTTTGGAGCAGTAAACATGTCAGGCTACCTTTTTTAAACAAATCATTGACTTCTGCTGTCTTCATTGGTTTTAAAAACACAGATTTCTTTACCATGGCATGAGATCTTTTCTGCTGGAGATACTGTTGTCCTAAAAAAAAAAAAAAAAAAAAAAAAAAAAACTAACTAAAAAAATTGTACATATACCATAGGAACGGTATAACAGAAAATTTGGCGGTTTTAAAACCTTGACTTTTCCAATCAGTGCTGGACCATGCCTGTACCCGGCAGAAAATTACTCAGCACATGAGAATGGGCTACATTCAGAGAGTGCTTTGAAACCATGGAGACATGTGATATACATCTGTTTAAAGTAAACAAGCTGCTGTAAAGAACATTTTATTTTATGCCTGAGTATAGTTCCTAGAAATATTGGGCTAGAAAATAGTAATGTTTTATTTTCTACAGAAGACTCGAGCTTTAAATAGGAAAATTATCAAAACTTTTGGGAATAAAATGGTAATGGTAAAATCTGATTCAATTCATTATGCTACGCTTTAAAAGTTCACACTTAGCTGATGATTGATTATAAAGCTTGCTTGGCATGCTGTCCCGGGTGAGAGCCCTGAGCTCATAAGATCCCCGAGCCCAGGGCTCTCTCCCGTTTGCAAGGCAAAAGGGGAGATGAGCTCAAGTAGATCTCGAGAGCTCCCCTACTGTAGCAGCAAATGAACATATAGTGATTGCTCTTAAGAGATAACTACTTACTAGGAGCATGTCTATGGTGCCGATTTGGATTAGTCAATTAACTTAAGTTGTATGTTTTTGTACGGTGGGAGGAGACCGCGGAACCTGGAGGAAACCCACGTGAGCATGGGGAGAACGTGTAAACTCCGCACGGAAATGTTGGCTTGCTTGGTAAGGACTAGAAGTAACGTTCTTGCTGTCAGCCACCATGCCACCCATCTAGAATAGGAGGAGGAGTAGGGGTGGAAGGGGGATTCTTCAAAACGAAGATGGCTGTTATGTGGAACTTAGGGTTTTTATAGTAGCTTAGGAATCATCTGATTAGTAGGGATGTAACGGTATTGTAAATACCGTCATACCGCAATATTATTTTTTTTCGATATTACCGTAGTAGCATGACTCGGTAAAACTATAGGTCTTCTGAGAAAATTTGCTCAGGCGAATGAAGCGAACGGGAGGTAGCGAAAACTACAATTCCCATCAGCCCAGGCTCGGCCATCATCCCTTGCGGTCTGTTGTCGCTACAGATACAGTAATGCGGAAATGGAGTGTGCTGCTAGAAGCGGGGATCAAAAAGAGCTGGAAATGATCAAACCTGAAGCGGGTGTTGTCACCGCACGCGTACTGAATAGCGGTGTTGTCGCGCGCGTTCTGATCAGCTGTGTTGTCTCGCGCGTACTGTAAAGCGGGGAGGGGGGGTTGAGCGCGCGCCTACTGAAGGGCGGGACGGAGGGTGTGTCGCGTCGCGGGGGCACTTTTGATCATTTTGGAAGGGCACTTTCTATCCAAGACTAAAAAGGGCATGTGCACTGCACAGGTTGAGCCCTATGTGTGCACATGCCTGCAAGTTGGGGAATATGACTAATAACAGTCATGGGGACTGCAGAAACACAGCACACTGTTCAGATTGATGCAGACATGAGACCTCTATCTCACTCATGGCTTGTCCTCTCAAGTGGGGGAAAGACAATGCACAACGTTACCCACTGCTGTCAACCTGGGCCAAGTCATATCTCTCTGTCCCAGAAACCTCAGTCCCAAATGAGAGGTTTTTTTTCTGTTGCAGGGGACATTGTAAATACCCAGAGATACCAGCTTTTACCAGATTATATTTATATGATCATTTTCCTTAAAGCCCATCTCTATCTAAGTGAGTGATTAAATGTTGAATGTGATGAGTTTTCAACAATACTAAATTGAAACTTTAATCATACATTGAATCATACATTGAATAATGCGGGACCAGCTGCAATCATAAGCACGTAATCCTCTCGAAATTAGTTTATAAATAAACTAAGCTAAAAGTGCCCCCTACCAGAACAAGAAATCGGCTGAATGGATTCAAAAATAGCGTAAGTGTCAATTGTTTAACTCTTGGAGACTTGAAAAATGAAAAAAAGTAGCATGTTCTTTTTCATTTTTAGTGTCACATAATCAGAAATGATTATAATAATGCTGATTTGGTGCATTTCTTAATGCCTAAAAATGTGCTTCTTGTTGTCGAAAACAATGCATTAAAAAAAACATTAACTTTGGTATAGGACTTTATTTGCAGAATTAAATGTATTTTTTGTACCTTGAATTAATGCTTTCCTCCTGTTTGAAAGTATTCATTTTATTTAAAATAAATATATATTTGACCCCAAAACTAAAAAAAAGGCCAAAGATGATGTCATGACTGTCATAAAGTGTATCACACGCTCTCCAGAGGAGCTGTGAACTCAATAAGCATGCATCCAGCGGGATTATCACTGTTAATCTGAGCAGATTTGTGTAGGCTTTTAATCTGCCATTTTGAGTTAAGACCAACTTTAGTGAAACTGGTCATTGTCATTTGTTTGTCATATCATCCTCATCTCCCTCTTGCTCTCTTTTCTCCAGGTCTACAACTGCACGACCAGACTCTTCCATTATTTTAAACAAGAGACTTCTGGCTGCTTAGCAACCATGCATTCTGATACACACAGGAGGGCCCCTTATTTCAGAAGTTGTAGCCAGGAGGAGGTAATCTGCCCACCCATACAATCACACACACACACACACACACACACACACACACACACACACACACATACACACACATACACATTTATTTAGTCAGCAATGTACTTAAAGCTCTATGACTCATAATTTGCCACAAAACCCAAGGAGCCCTCAACATTGTGTTCAATGAAAATCAGATTTGTGCGTGTGTGTGTGTGTGTGATTTTATAATTTTTTTGTTCAATTCTCGTTTGTATGTCACAGAGCAGGAAGGGTTGTCCCTGCTGTGCCGTATGCTGGCATAGAGTGTTCTGGGTAAGGGGAGAAAAATGCATTCCAAGGCTACCTCAAAAAAGTCACTGACTCTCTGCCACACACACACACACACAGTTCTGGTTGGTTACTGCGGCACGATCTGGCTGCAGCTGAAGACAGAGGGGAGGGGTCTCTCTCTCTCTCTCCCTCTCTCTCTCTCTGAGTCTCCGCTCAGTCTGAAACTGCTCTCTTGCAGTGCTTTTGCTGGCAGGATCGCATGAATCAGGACATTCTGTCCGGGATAGTGCTTACCTGGTGGAAAATGTGTGTTTTGATCATACGAAATACACTGTAGGACTGTTTGGATACTCTAGAAAAGCAGGTACGTTTCCAGTGTCACGTTTCAATCATGAATTGCGTAGTTGCATGAGAGAGCCTCTAACTTTTCTTCAGCTCTATGTAGGAGAGGGTCGTTTTCATGGATTCATGGGTTTTTCTTCTTCTTATATTGGGATCAGAATGTATGTTTAGGTGTTTTTAGAAGCGATCTATACATTCCCTAATTGATTGATTTATTTGTGAGGGACCAAATTACTTGCATGTATTGAGTTGTGTAATGTAATGTAGATTTGCTTGCGCATGTGATGCTGGTATTGATCTCCATGTGGTGTGTGTATATTTATTAGTGATGCAGCTTTTAGAGGACGGCCTCTTTTTTGGATGTTTTCCAGGGATCTTTGACATAAGCAGGGTGATCTATTGATCTGTTTATTCGTTATTGTGTCCCAGCATTACATGTTTTAAAATCTGAATGTGCAGGACTCCATTAGTGCTGTAAAAAGACGTGACTGTCTGTGTATGTGTGCGTTTAGTGTAGTGAGTATATGCACCTGCCTGGATGCCTTACCTTCTAATGAGATTCAGAACTTCTAGCGTACCTTTTTACACTTATTTGACCTACAAATGTTGGCAGCTTTAAAAAAAAAAAAAAAAAACTGAAAAACTAAAGGACTGAAAAATGTTTGGTTAAAAATAATATTCTTGTGGGTATTTTGGTATCAGACACTGCAAATGACAAAGTTAGACAGCTCATCTCTATGGTAACTGTTTGGTTTTGCCTGAAGTGTAACGTGAGGAGAAATGGAAAGGATTTTGGGTGAAAGTTTATTGTACCAATGTGCAATATTTATACAGATGTCCTTCAAACACTGTGCCTTATAATAAGATTGAAGTAAAAGAGGTAGTTCAGACAAATATGAATATTATGTGAATGTTTGTTTAACTTTCTTTGAAATATTTGTACGTTCTTTGAAATATATTTTGTGTTAAGCAGAATATAGAAATTCAGACTGGTTAGAAATGACACGGGGACGAATAAACAATAACATAATTTTCATATTTCGTAATATACGCTACCTGACAAAAGTCGTCGCCTATTCAAGTTTTAGGATCAATAATTAATAACTTGACTTCTAGTTGATGATTTGGTATCAGAAGTGGCTTATATGAAAGGCAAATGCCTCTAGATTATGCTTATTTTACCTAAATAAAATATGATCATGGTTTGATTTTTAATTATTTAATTAGGACAGTAAGGTCTAACTTTGCTTAGACAAAAGTCATCACTTTACAGAAATAATGTACAGTATAGAATTAATATAAAGTCATGGTGCAGTGGAAAATGAATTATATTGTGTATAACTGCATCCATACATCTCTGCAATGGCAAAGGAACTGTTTCTGCAGGACTCCCAGAGTTCATCTAGATTCTTTGGATTTATCTTCAATGCCTCCTCCTTCATCTAACCCCAGACATGCTCAATAATGTTCATATCTGGTGACTAGGCTGGAGCACTATCCTGCTGAAGAATTGGCCTTCTATAGTGGTTTGTTATGTAATGGGCAGCACAAATGTCTTGATACCTCAGGCTGTTGATGTTGTCATCCACTCTGCAGCATCTCTTGCATGTACGATACTGATTGTTACTCCAAACCATGATTTTTCCTTCACCAAACTTGACTGATTTGTCTGAGAATCTTGGGTCCATGCGGGTTCCAATAGGTCTTCATCAGTATTTGTGATAATTGGGTTGCAGTTCAGCAGATGATTCATCAAAAAAATCTACCTTCTGCCACTTTTCCGAATGGTCAGCTAGAAGTCAAGTTATTATTGGCTGCTCTTACAACTGGAATCGACGACAAGACTTTTGTCGGATACTTTTAATAGGACCTTAAATAGTCTTATGTCAAAAGGAAAATGAAAACTGTTTTGCTTACCTCATTGGCAGATCATTTTGCTTGTTTGAAGGAATAACTCATTTAATTTTGACATGTTATTTCCCAAAACAAGACAATATTTTTGCTCATCTAGAAAATGCTTCTTGATTTAATTTATAGTCGATATTTAAACTAGAAACAAGTCAAAAGATCTGAGTAAGACAAGCATGTTTTGCAGTGTGATTGAACTCAGTAACCTCAGATGAACACAGTCAGACTTTTATTGTTGTCAGTATATTGCAATTATATATGTTATGTACACGCTGAACAGGTTCTGCATGCCGTTATCATTTACCACTCGCATGGCTTAAATTCATTGGAGTATAATGAATGAAATAATATAACTAAAACATTTGGGGGTAAAAGTTAATTTGTAGCCTCAAAGACAGAAAATACATTAAAATTGATTGGTTATGGTTGGAATGATTAATTTTATCAGTATAATTAAGCTGACATAACCCTAAAAAGTATGTGTTTAAATCAAATTTGTGAGACCACTTAAATTAAAAGCTTTTTTTCCATGGCTGTTCTCATGCATTGAAAGAGCTTCATCTTTTATATTAAGATGTTATCATCATAGCCACGAGCATTATATGTGGTTGCATATTTTGTTGAGCAGCATAATTACAGCTCACACTCTGATTTATGTACACAAACTTATACACAAATAAACAAGTACATTCCTGTTTCTGATTATATGCATGATATTGCATTGATTTCAGTATTATATTTTGTTGAATCAGAGTTACAGCTGCAGAGTAAAAGTGTAACAGTAAGCAAATTATGAATCTACTGAAAACAGTAAATAAATAAATAGGATAAGATTAGTTTTTAGAGATAACAGTAAAAATGACAGAAAACTGACTAAATCATTATAATCCGAGCAGGGTCCTTACATGTGTTTAGTTCATTAATGATTGTCTACGAATTCAAGGATCAGTATTTGTACACTGTAAAATATGCTGGGTTCCACACAATTGATTTGTGTTGGGGCAACATGAAGGAATTGAGCTAACCTATTAGTTTTCGATTTTAATTGGATTGAACATAAAACAATTAAGTTGTTCCCTAACAAACGTTAAGAATTGTGTTGTTTCAGCTCATTTTATATAAGTAGTTAGAACATATAACAAACATCCTTTTCTGAATGTAGTTTTTTATGCTAACATTTCTTCTAGTCAGTTTAGGGCCTATGTGGATTGTGCAAATCAGGACTTGACGCTCAGACATTGGAATAAGCCTATGAGATCAGTTTTGGCACCGTGAGCTACTACAGGGAATAAACACCTTTTCAATCGCTGAAGAATCAGCCAAGCAAATAGCTTGCTAATGCTCAACTATGTAGTATAATTATACAGTATGCAGAGGAAGATCCGATGAGACAAAAATCACAAAAGACCAACACCCATACTGCAGTTGCAGTTGAAAATTAGAGAAGTTTCACACATTTAGAGGTCATAGGATTTATAAATAACTTAAGTATAAAAAACTTAAGTGAGATATGTGTGACCAGAACCACAAAACCATCTTATGTTTCATGTGTATAGTTTTGCCAATAGTCTAAAGTACATTGTATGGGTCAAATTATACATTTCTATTTTATTAAATATATATATATATATATTAATGAGGAATATTAAGTAAAGATCATTTAAAAAATTATCATAAAGATATTTTGTACATTTTTCTGCCTTAAATTTATTAAACCTGTTTTTTGATTAGTAATATGCATTGCTAAAAACTTAATTTAGACAATTGTATGATTAGTTTTTCTCAGTATTTCGATTTTTTTAAACTCTCAGATTCCAGATTTTCATATAGTTGAATCTCAGTCAAATATTCTCATATTCCAACAAACCACACATCAATTGAAAGCTTATTTATTCAACATTCAAAAAATGCATAAATATCAGCTTCCAATTGAAACTTATGACTCGTTTTGTGGTCCAGGGTCATATATTTGAAGAAGCACACTAATCAAAATTAGACACTTTCAGATACCTTTTTGTTAAAGGAGTTAATCAGTCACTTGGTGGTAAATTCCTTAATTATCAGCATGAACATGGCAAGAATGCATCTAGACATACAATTTATCAACATTTGAGAGAATTTGGACTAAAACCCCTGCATTGACCAAACCTTTCATCATCAGAGAGAATCAGAAGACTAGACTAACCTTTGGTAGAAGCATGTTGTGTGGACTGAAGACCAAATTTACTTTATTGATGAAAGCAAGTTTAATTCATTTGGGTCTACTGTGAAACATTTCTGCAGCAGGAGTTTCTCATATACAGTTAAAGTCAGAATTATTAGCCACCCTGAATTATTAGCCCCCCTGTTTATTTTTCAATTTCTGTTTAATGGACAGTTTTTTCCAACACATTTCTAAACATAATGGTTTAATAACTTATTTCTAAAAACTGATTTATTTTATCTTTGCCATGATGACAGTACATAATACGTTACTAGATATTTTTCAAGACACTTTTATACAGCTTAAAGTGTTAAAAGCTTAACTTGGCTAATTAGGTTAACTATGGAGGTTAGGGTAATTAGGCAAGTTATGATGGTTTCTTCTGTAGACTATGGAAAAATATATAGCTTAAAGGGGCTAATACCTTTCACCATAAAATGTTTTTTTTATTATTATTATTATTAAAAACTGCTTTTATAAAATAAAAAATAAAACTTTCTCTAGAAGAAAAAAATATGATCAGACATACTGTGAAAAATTCCTTGCTCTGTTAAACATCATTTGTTAAATATTTAAAAAAGAAAAGAATTTCAAAAGAGGGCTAACAATTCAACTAGTTGAACTAACTTCAACTGTACATCTACATGAAAGAGTCGAAGCAAATGTTTAACTGAAGCTCCAACATGCTTTCAGCAAAAAGGTTTACATGCAGGATAATGAAAACCATCACACAGCCAAGCATGTAAAGCAGTTAATTAGGAGGAAACAATGAAATGTCAGCCTAGAGTCCTGAACTAAACCTGATTAAAAATCTCATGCTCTTCTTGTGCATTGTTTGCTATCACAATGTCTGCTCAAAGTCATTACATGTCATGCACAAAGCTCCTGTGTTCCCAGGTTTGTGCTGCTTT